TATCAAATTTTGTTAAAATTAAACAAAAACTTGAAGATAATCAAAGTATTTATATTTTAATATATTTTGAAATGTATATATTACGTCAATTTTGTTTTATAAGAATGAAATATCAAATTATCTTGGATTAATATAAAATTTTGTATATATGATCTAAGAGTAAAGAACTTTCAATCTAACGGTTGAATTTACAAAATTCACATTTAATATAAGATTATTAAGCGATATAATACTTGGTAAAAGTTACACCGGTGTTATTATAACCCTTCTCTATATATGTATAGAGAGAGGAGGGATCCGTTTACTTCAAGAATAAGTCTATCTATATTTACTTCATTTCATAACTTATGTTCTACATCAAATTTCAACGTCAACTGTTGAATTTAAAGTTCTTAATGCATGAATTAAATTTTCAAATTTTTAGAAAATTTAAAATCATTTAATACTTCATTTCATTAATTTAAATTGACAGATAATCATAAAATCATTTTATACATTGATTTGAATTAATGAAATGAAGTATCAAATGATTTTCAAATTTTTTTAAAATTTGTAGATTTAATCTATGCATTAAGAATTTTAAATTCAACGGTTAGATTGTTGAAATTTGATGTAAAACATGAGTTATTAAATAGAATTAATCTAGGTAGACTTACTCCTAAAATAAACGGATCTCACTCTATATATATAGAGAGAGAGAGAAGAGTTCAAACGACACCAATATAACTTTTATTTAGTATTATACCGCTCAATAACTTTATATTAAATGTGAATTTTATAAATTTAACCATTAAATTAGAAGTTCTTTGCTCTTAGATCATATGTACAAAATTTTATATTAATCCAAGATGATTTGATACTTCATTCTTATAAAACAAAATTGACGTAATATATACATTTTAAAATATAATAAAATATAAATACTTTGATTACCTTCAAATTGTTGTTCAATTTTAACAAATTAAATTTTATATAAACATATAAAGTGATATAAACTTTAAATTTAACAATTGGATTTACAAAATTCATATTTAATATAAAGTTATTAAGCGGTGTAATATTTGGTAAAAGTTATACCGGTATCGTTTGAATCCTCATATATATATATATATATGTGTATGAAATGTTTGGATTTGGTAAAGATATTTTTGATATATTATGAATCATGATGAATTGAGATTTTTCACACTTATGTGCAAATTATAAGGAGCAAGTTAAATAAAAATTTCATAAAATCTCACTTTACTTTAGCAAATAAAATTTTACTATATTTTTTTTCAAAGTTATTTCGATTTCTATAAAACAATCCAAAACACTTGGGCTAACATTTGGTATAATATATTAATAATATTAATTTATCAATAATATTTTTAATAATAATAATAAATGTAACATTGTAAATTTATTTAATGGTTAATTTAATTGATCTTGTGATTAGTTGTTTAATAATTGTAACAACTCTAAGGATTAAGAAATTCTTATGAGTATAATTGGTTAGGAGTTGTTTCAAGTTGAGGTCAAAGTTGATCAAATATAGGGAAAGATATAAAAGATTTTTCTAAATTTCATAAGTTCATTTCTTAAGAAACCTACATATGAGTTAGAGAGAGCAACTTTGGGGCTAGAATTCCTTCCTCTCTTTTTTTTTTCTAAGCCCTTAGAGAGTTCTAAAGTCTTTCCTTGAGTGAGGTTGAATAGTTGTGTAGGGATTCAAAGCTTCTAAAACTAAGAATCTAAGTATGTGAAGCAATAGTGCAGAGTTCCCCCAAAGAGTCACATTTTTCTCTTCTACCTCTATTTTTGGTGATTCAAAGATAAGGGAAGCTCTTGGATGATCTTTATTGAATTGTTGCTTGAATTATATATCTTGGTGGTTGTGTTATCGTTAATTTTGAGATGGGGTTTCTTGTTCTTGGGGTTTTGGTGTCTTGGAGAAGAATTTGTTGAATTTGAATTATGTAGTGATTGCATGTTGTAAGTTTTGATGAAAGTGAGTTGAGTAGGTTGTAATTGAGTAGAATTACTTGTTGCATGTTGGTTGTGGCTAATTTCAAGTGGTTTTGAGCAAAAACGTTATGCAAGTTAGAGGCTTTTTGCTCCACTAATGTCAGGAATGAGATTGGTAGTGTCAAACATGGGTTAGAGGAGAGCTCTCTAACTTGGTCACGTCAGTGTGGGTTAAGGGGTGCCATGGGTTGTTGAATTTGAATTATGTATGATTGGATGTTGTAGGTCTTGATGAAAATGAGTTGAGTAGGTTGTAATTGAGTAGAATTACTTGTTGCATGTTGGTTGTGGCTTATTTTCAAGTGGTTTGGAGCAAAAACATGATTCTATTGAGTGCAAAATTCACCATCGCATTGGGCATGATGTAGGTCAAAGGCTCTCTACTTCACTAATGTCAAGAGCAGGATTCATAACATAGGACATGGGTTGGAGGAGAGTTCTCTAACTTGGTCACACTGGACGTGGGTTGAGGGGCATCAGGCATGATTGTCCTTTGCACTTTTTCACTTGGTGGTGTCAAATCCTAATTTATTGGCGTCAAGCAAAATCAAGACATTGGCTCTTTGTCTAGATGAGAATGAATGCATGTTTTGTGTTGTCGGGTATGAGTCAAGGAGAGATTTTCTACCTAAATAGGGTTGGGTGTAGGTTTAGCTACATCAGACGTGATTGATATAAGAACTCTCTACCTTATCCACGTCATGTACAAGTGGATTGGTATCCGGTGTGGACGAACCAAAGGCGAATTATACATTGATTTGGAATGATGTATAATAATGTTTAAGTTGTTTAAAGTTGTAAGTTAAATTGTGAATGAAAGTTTAACTATAGTAGAGTTGTATGAAATTTATTCTTGAAGTAATTGTGTTGTGAATGCTTCAAGCATGTAGTTGAGTTGTATTGATTGACTTAAGATCAGATGAGAGATGTTATTTTAAAAAGATGAATATCTCATTGTGGAAATATGGTGAATTAGTACTTTGCCAGCCTAATTGTTGAAAACTTCTTGAGTATAGTTGATTCTTGAAGTAGAATATTAAGTTTTCATATAGTATGAGAGTTATGTCAAATTATACTGATTATAAGTAACAAATGTAGAACTGTATAGGGACAGAGTAGAGTCATACATATATCAAGTGACTAATATTTTAATTAAAATTAACATCTTAATCACTATATTAATTTTAAAATTAATATTAATTAAATATCAATTATGTTAATTATTTTTAATATACAAAACTAGTTTAAAATACTTTGATTTTTTAAAACATTATTTAAATTTTTATATTAATTTTGAACATCCAGTGTCTTATATGTGACACTAAAGTACATATGTTCAATGATAATGTTTTTTAGAATTTTTTTACTAAAAAAAAATAAATAAAACTTTAATTACTAAATTGTTTATTTTTTATATGACACGAGTGATAATTTTAGTATTATTATAACTCAAATTAATATTATTTTTCTTAATAAATTACTCAATTAAAATTTATTTACTTATTTAAACAATGCCACTTTTTTTTATATATATAAATAACAAAAAAAATGAAAATATTTATATACCAGCATTAGTAATTGAAAATTATTATCTACAAAAATAATAGCAAGATGATAATCAGTATTTACACTCTAAATCTTTTTTAAAAAACTTTACATACAATAGTTTGTTTTAGTTATACATGATGCAATAAGTTGTGTGTATGCTAGTGCATGTGTGTGTATGCACAGTAAAATAGTAAACACCTTGTCTCTTTCATTGTGGAAGTTCAAACAAAATCACCATTGTCCTCATTAACTAGGCAACTACTAATAGTCATGACTTCCTCCAACCTTCAAATGTAACTCTTTTTTTTTTATATTTTATTTTATTGATCTAATCTCAAGGCATATACATATTTATATCTAATACATGATTAGTGTGACTAATACATGCATAGTGATGTTGGCTAGTGTGGGAGGCAGATACAAGTCTCTCAACCATGGGAAACAAGTTTAATTTATACTGAGATATGTTAATATTTAAATAAATAATTTAGATTTTTTATCTGTTTACTTTTCTAATTTTTCTCTCCTGCTCGTTACTCTTCCTTCCTCTCTCAACACCTTCTATTTCACCACACCTTTCTCACATTGTCATTGTGTTGTGTTGTGAGAAGGTGAAAAAAAAAAATAGTTTACATTATTTCTACAAATTGCACAAAATTTAGTTACATAAAATTTAACATTTTAAAAACAAATCTAGAAAGAATAATATTAAAAAAAATTACTTCTTGAAATCATTTTTGTTCCATATAATAACTTTTATGAATTATAATATAAAAGTAATTAATTAATATAATAATATAATTAATCTCTCTATATAAAACACAAACAATGTTATTAAGAATTTTTCTTGAATAAATTTTTTTTTAAAATTTAATATCTAATTCAATTTTTATTTTTATAATTATTTATGAATTAAATTTATATATTTTAAAACTTTACTATAATATAAATTTTATCATAAATTTTAAATATATATTATATATTCAAATATAAAATTTATTTATATATATAATTTAATTTAAATTTTAATTATGTGCAATAAATATTTATTCATCATACAAATTAAAATACTATCTAGTTAAATTAAATTCATCAACAATCCAAAATAATCACCATAAAAAAAATTAGGGTTTTTGTGTTGGGCTCATTTGGGAATTGGATTAAACTCAGCTCACCTGACTACTATATTAATTTAAAATTATCTCTCTCATTCTTCGAACCCAAAAAATTCCAAAGCTTTTTTTTTTCAGGTAGGGTTTCTCTTTCTCTCTCTTTTTTCATTCACCTCCTGGATTTCTTGAAACATCTAAGTTGGGTTAGTTATAACAGTGCTAGGGTTAGGGCATTGTGGATTTTAAGTCTTTTTCTTCATCTCGCTAGTTATGTTTGAATTTTGGAGTGTTAGGGTTTCTTGACTTGTTTCTTGGTTTTGTTGTGTGAAATAGATTTGATTTTGAAAGCGAATTGGGAGAACAGGATGAGGCCGATTTTTGCTGGGAACTTGGAGTATGATACTCGTCAATCAGAGCTTGAACGCTTGTTCTCAAAGTATGGCAGGATTGACCGCGTGGACATGAAATCTGGTAAAACCTTAGGGTTTGTGTCTTTTCATGTGCAATTAGAATATTTTAATGGGAATTTATTTGTTTAATTTTTTCAAGTAGTTTCCTTTGTCTAGTGATGACGTAGTTTGGATTTTTTTTTTGTTTCGTTTAACAAATCCTATCTTGTCGTTCCATTTTGAATTTGCATCTTATTTACTTAGAATGATCAATTGTCAAACTGGTTTCATGGTTCCCCATATTGTGTGTCGTCTAGGATCAATGGGGACAGTTTTTTATGGCAACAGTTGTCATTGTTTGTGTGAAGTTAGTGTGTGATTAGTAAGCAGTATTTTGTAGTTGAATAAGATGTTCATCTAAAAGCTAGTGATACTGGGACGACCATGTTTTGGAATTTGGATGTGGACATATGGCTGCATTTGTGGCTTGAATGTCCAGTTCCTATGTCCTGGTGGGAAATTTGGAAAGAAAATCCTCTGGTTTTTAAGTGTTTCTTTTGGCGCAGGAACTTCTACTAAGGGGAAATATGCTGAGCAAAGTCTTGGCTTGCCAACCTCTGCCAATTTTTTTTTGGAAGGAAACCTTCCTGCTTGTCTGCCCTCCTTCTACCTACCGATCTGCATTTTCTCATCTGATCATTCGTCACTCACTTACTTCATCATCATCACCCAACATTGACATTTCACCAGAATGTTCTTAGTGGGATCATCAATCAATTTATTAAGTCATGCCTAGCTTCACTGAATATAGGGGATCAATGAAATTCTGTCAAGTCATGCCATTCTATTTCTGAAATCACTTGTGCTGTCTGAATGGAGAAGCATGCTTGGCAGTCTCAGATCTGAATTTTGGATTTAAACCTTTAATTGCAATCATGATTTTGTTCCCCATTCAACGCCTCTACAGCTTCATGTGCATCAGCCCTCACTTATATTCAGGTGTTGTATTCCTTTGTTCTTGACAGGGAAAATGATTTCCTGATTTGGCTGATGTACTTCTGGTGAGGGATAATGTGCTTGATGTCTTTCATAATCTTTTATGCCTCTAATACTAGTTACTTTGCAGGTTTTGCTTTTGTTTATTATGAGGATGAGCGTGATGCCGAAGAAGCAATTCGTGCACTTGACAATATTCCATTTGGTCATGAAAAGCGAAGGCTGTCTGTGGAGTGGGCTAGGGTATGATAGTATTTCTGTGACATGTTTCAGTTTTATTTACTTATTGATGAGGTCATGAAACTATTAACAGTGTTGTACCTGAGTTTAAAAGAACTTTCTGGGATTTTTTGGCAGGGTGAACGTGGACGTCATCGGGATGGATCGAAGGCAAACCAGAGGCCAACAAAAACCCTTTTTGTGATTAACTTTGACCCAATCCGTACTAGAGTTCGTGATATAGAAAAACACTTTGAACCTTATGGGAATGTTCTTCATGTTCGAATTCGGCGGAACTTTGCATTTGTGCAGTTTGAAACACAAGAAGATGCTACCAAAGCTTTAGAGTGTACAAATATGAGGTAAATGGTGGGATTATATTATTTCGTTGTAAAAAAAATTTGTTTTTATTTTTATTTTTTAATTTTACTGCATAGGATAATGAAATTCTTGTTTCAATACACTTGCAGTAAGATCTTGGACAGGGTGGTGTCTGTGGAGTATGCCCTGAGGGATGACGGTGAGAGGGGTGATAATTATGACAGTCCTAGAAGAGGAGGTTATGAGAGATCGCCCAGTCCAGCTTATCGAAGGCGGCCAAGTCCTGACTATGGCCGTCCTCGCAGCCCTGCATATGATAGATATAACGGTGGACCAGATAGACGGAGTCCTGATTATGGTAGGCGTAGGAGTCCTGATTATGGTAGGCGTAGGAGTCCTGATTATGGAAGGCGCAGGAGTCCTGATTATGGGAAGCATAGGAGTCCTGAATATGGTAGATACCGCAGGTATTTTCATCATAGTCAATTTAATTCACACCTGCAACTGTTTTCCCTGTCTTTTCAGGGCTTACTTATTATGTTATTTATTTACAGTCGCTCACCGGTGCGAAGGTCAAGAACATAAGTGATTTCTGGTTTTAGGGTAAGAAGCAACGCTCCTGTGGTACTTTGTTTTACTTTCTAGTTGTTAGAATAGCAAGTGGTACATTATGTAGTAAGGGTACTTCTCGGTTTAATGTGGTATGCGTGTTTGCTGTTTGGCAGACAGTGCTAATGTTTCCTAAAACACGAGACTGTTTAGTGTCAAATTATGGATGCATATTTTTTGCAGTGACACCGTACTTTGCTACAATCGAATTTAATTTTTTTTAGTGCCCTGGTTTGCAGAGTTTGTTTAAATACAAATTTAGAAGCATTTTTAAAAGTTTTTTTTTTTACCAAAAAATACTCTTTATTTTTGGTAGAGAAGTTTTTTCTACTTTGTATCTAAACAAACTTTATTGTTATTGAATCCGTTCTTACCTGTTAATTTGGGACACATAAGTAGGATCATATCTATCAGTAATGGTTAGATATAGACTGTGCCCCTAAGAGCTATATCATTTGCTGATTGCTTGAACACTCAACCTCGACGCTTTAAAGGGTGATTAAAAACTTGATAGAACTAGTTCAAAAATTTACACTGGATTAGAATAGGCTTTTTGAAAACTTATAAAAAATATATGTTTTAGGTCATTTTAAATAATCTTTACTGATTGAGTTGCCTAAGTAAATGTAAATAATTCTTTATTATTATTTGTAGATTGTTTAAAAGCTTCGTTTCATTGTTATTATGCATGATTTGACAAGATTTGACTATATAACGAAATCGATATCGATTTAATAGCTTTGTATCATTTGATATATAAATAAATCTATGAAACTTATAAATCATGTGATTTAACAATGTTATTTTTTGTCTACTTTACCAATGCTGTTGAAATATTGAATAGACAAGCTGCAATTTTAAATGGGAAAGAATTGAAAGAATGTTTATAAATTTATTTGATTATTCCAATATTTTAAAGCAGGTTTTTTTTTTCCTTTCAAACAAAGCTCGTTTTAAGATTTTTTCTTTTATTTGCTTAATAATAAAGTTATAGGTAAAGGCTTGTATGATGATGAAATTATATACCACTCGACAATGTTAAAATACGTGCAAAACAATTTTCGCACAATTCAGGTATTATAAATTTTTGTTGTTTAGTATTTTGTTAAAAGTATTTGATTGTTGGCAATAACATCATTCTGTCGTCAGCATCCACGAGAGTCTTATTATACAACAAAATTTATATTCCACAAATAGTAATTTAGGTAGAGCAAGAGGAACTAGATCAATGAATTTGGCTTTATTTCTTAAACTGAGAGAAATGTACATCGGAGATTTGGAGGATACAATATAACTATAAATCGTTAACTAAAAATTCAATAATTGAGACTGTAAATAATTTCAAAATTATTATACATGTATTTTTTAGTTTTTATAGCATTCTCAATCCTTAACTTTTAATTTTTTTTTTTTTGCACCAACCATTAATTTTTACTTATTGATTGCGAGTGTATTTTCTTTACTTTAGAGGGGTCAGATTAATAATAATAATAATAATAATAATCTTCATCTTTATATGTATAAAAATAGTAGAGTTGAGTCATCAATGTTGATAATTTAACATTAATTTTACAATTTAGAATTTAAAAACAATTATATATAATAGTAGAGTGACTATCACCAATGCAGATAATTTTATACTAATATGCATTTCATGTCATCAATGCAATTATAATGGTAGACAAAATGCTTAGTTTAAAATTCTATCAACAATAAACGAGTATGACTTCTCATTTATCATTTATACATAAAAATAATTTTTAATATATATATATAACATGAAATGACTAGTTTACTCATGTTATATAGATTTTTAAGTAAATGAGCATTTAAATATTTAGTAATAATGAGTTAGTATGACAAGTAATAAATAAAGAAGACTGAGTTTCTATTGAATTCAACTTATATGTATCAAACACTTTTATAAAGTGATTGCTAAGTAAGGGACTCATGTTCAGCCAATGATTTTGCATAATGGAAAGATTTGTATAAATTCTATGACGTGCAACAATTTTTTAATTTTAATCTTTCAAAGTTGGTTAACTATATTTTGTAAATTTGAGAACCACCAAATGAATTTGTAAATTACTCACCCAAAAAAACTTATTTTTAAACAAATTGATCTAAAATTTAATGAATATTTGAGACATAAGACGAGTTGAATATAAAAATTTTTATTCAACTTTATTATTCAGTAATTGATAATAAAAATAATAAATATGCATTAGAATTTTATTATTTTTACATCTTTTTTATATTATATGTTTATATTCATTAAAAAAATTAATTTCAAAATACTCGCATAATAATTTTTTACTGTGCATTGCTATAGTCAAAATCAAGACAAAAATAATAATGATATTTGCTCTTAACAAGGAAAGCCATCTTTGAAAGAAAATAACAAAAACTATCCCTCATTCTTTTGACTTTTATCCTTGATAAATGATGAATCTTTGTTGGCATGAATTAACTGAATTTGTGGCTGAAAGTTAACGCAACTCCGTCCTCTTTAACTCTTATGTCCACACATTGTGCATAAAATTATTAAAGATTTTTCCCCGCTTGGTCTTTCATTGACTTTTGGTTTTAGCAAAAAGACCAACCTAATCATTTATTTCATTAATAACTATATAGATCGCCTCTTTATGTCTCATGAAGATGAAACCATCAAGTGAAACTGCTCTTCACTAGTTTGGTAAAATTGCAAAAAAAAAAAAAAAAAAAAAAAAAAAAAAAAAAAAAAAAAAAAAAAAAAAAAAAAAAAACAGACACCTTACTCTCTCTCTCTCTCTTTTTTTAATAGGACAAACACATTACTTAAGTCATCACTAGTATGAGTATCATCTTAATCATCATTTAAAGGCGATTAATTAAGTTTTCAGGAACAGATTATCAGTAAATTTAATGTATATTTTTTTTACTAATAATGTGATTAAAAGTATACTTTTTTTATCTTATAATAAATGACATTTTAGGTTATTTTACACACAAAAAAAAAATAGATGAAAGAAAATAATAATTTTATAAAATTACCTTTATAATTAATTGTTTTTACCATACATGATACAATACAAAAATTACTTTTTACATAATATTATTAAAAGTAGAAATATGAAATGAACAATTGATAATACATTAAAAAAATTAATATAATATTTATTTTTTTCTTGTAATATGATAGTTATAGAACCGAGGGGATATATTTTTTCATCGGAGAAATTCATTTCAATAGCAACCAAAGACCCTTTAGCACAAAGATGAGTTTCACCAATTGTAGCAACATAAATCTGATAAGATCATTAAATATACATAATATCATAACTTACAATTGATATTCCAAGAGGAGCAATAATAACATGTCTAACTTGAGGATTTCCTAAGTTCTTCATCAATTGCCTTCTCTAGCCATGCCTCAGCATCTTCCATCATTCCAGGGCTAAGCCTCACCATGAGGATGCAAAACTCAGTTTCATTTAGCTTTCCATCGCCATCAAGATCACCTTGTCTAACCATAGCCTCTGCATCCTCCTTGCTCATCTCTTCCATGCCAAGAAGAGCCGAGTTTCTCCTTAAACTCTCACTTGTGATCAAACCTGTTTGTGGGTCTGATAGAAGCCTGAATCCTCCACAAAGTTCTGACACAAAGGACTCCACATCAAGCTTCTCTGCCATCACTGGCAACAAGTCCTCAAACTCCATGTTCTCCTGCTTTCTTTCCATTTCAATAGCACCTTTCCTTGTCCTTCTGCTTCAGAAAGTTGGGAAGATTGGTTGAGGGAGAGAGTCACTTTGGAAGACTTTGTGTTGTATAGGAATGAAGACTCAATGAGAATTCGTTTGGACAATACAATGGCCTTTTATATAGAGATGTAAAAGTCCATTGTTTTTGGAACATTTTTCTTGTAATTGAGAAATTATTGTATGCTCTAAAATCACACTTGTTCATGATTTTAGTTAATCTTACAATATGTAATGTCAAAATTTTTAATTTACAAGAAAATATTAGTAAAATTCGTCTATAAATTTATATAAATATTGGTTAAAAGTATAGACACGTGAATAGATATAATCTCTAGGAGATAATAATATTTTTTAATTTACAATTTTTTAAAATAAAAATCTGTTTGGTTAAATAGAAATTGGCCAAATTAAACTTTGTGCGTTTGTGTGTGTGTTTTTTTGTAGGACGGTAATCTTGAACTTTGTACCATAATTTCTCTTTTGATGCCATTTTTGTACTTCATGGTGTCAACTTGGTCAGCTTGTGTTTGTGATCTCAGCCGTATATTTGCAAGTTGTATTCTTGATTGGCTTTACCCATTGGTTTGTTTTTTGTGACTAAAGTAATCAATGAACCAAGTTCTAATACGAGACTAACCATTTATTTGGGAGCTATTGACTATTAGGTCTTAGGTCTTCCTAACAATTGTTTCACATAAGTGTAATTTTAAGTCCCCATGTGAAACAAGCCCTGAACCTGATGCACACCTTTTATTGTGCTACAATAATCCACTTTCATGCATAGGTACACAAAACACACATTGGGGGCAGATTCTATAAATAAAATAAAAATTAGGTAATACTTTAATTAATTAAGAGTAATGAAGGGCACAAAAGAAAATGAAGTGGTTATGATGAGGTTCACAGGATCAATATTTAAGTTGGATTGGAGAGGTGGGAATTGTACCAAGTCAAGGACTTAGGAATCTAGAGTATTGCCTGTGACAGTTAGATGTATTAATTTCTGTCATTGAATTTTTATTTGATTTTGATTTTAATAGATATTCTATCTATTTAGGAAGGTTTCTAGGAAGGTGCCTTTGGTGGGAACAGAGGGATATTCTTGTTAAGACGTAATCTTCAGCGGCAGAAACTGTTGTATAGTTTGGCTTCCATGAAGCTTCCTCTTCTACTTATATCCATCAGATTTTTGTATTCTGTCGTGTTCTCAATCAATCATATACATGACAAGTGCCATAATAATTTATTTGTTGTAAACCACACCAAGATGGTAACCTTTCCACATGCCCATCATTCTCAATCATAATATTTCTGTCTTCTTATTTTTTTACGAAATAGTAAAACATCACAACACTAGCTTTTAACTTGCTTTCGTTTGTGTCTTTCTTTTTCCCCTTTATTTTTTATTTGGAAGGTTGAACCGATGCACTCTTTACGTGTTTCACAACTCTCAACTAAAGTATATCATTGTGTTGTTGTGTGAATTTAAATCAAAACTAATTCTTTTTATGATATACATCATTTGGATCATTTAAATTAAAACTTATATAACTAGATTTATTATGTTTAATAATTCATTTTATATCAAATTTCAACGATCTAACTATTAAAATTAAAATTTTTAATACATAAATTAAATATATAAATTAAAAAAATTAAAAATTATTTAATATTTTATTTTATTAATTTAAATTGATGGATAATCATAAAATTATTTTATACGTTGATTTGGGTTAATAAAATGAAGTATTAAATAATTTTTAAATTTTTTAAAAAAATATGCAAATTTGAATTATGAATTAAGAACTTTAAATTTAATATATAATTAAATCTTGAAAATTTAATGTAAAACATAAGTTGTTAAATGAAATAAATCTAGATAAGCTTACTCTCAGAGTAAACGAATCCATCTTCTCTATATATATATTAAAAAAATTAAACTCTAATTAATACCTCTAAGGGATGCAATATGTATAGCCTAATTACTTGATTTTAAGTTTGAACATAAATAATGAATACTTAATTTTTTTCTTAAGTAAATTCCCATTTTGAATTCTTTGAATATTAGTTCTTAAACTTTAAAGTAGTTCCATCCGGGTCTCTAAAACTAATAATTTACTCATCTTTCGACCTCTATACTTATGTTAATATTAACACTTAAATCACAATTTTTTTTGAACTAATGTCATGATGAATTATATTTTTAATAATTTATTTAGAAAATTTTTAATTTCAATCACTAATTTGATGCTATACAGTTCCATATACTAAAATAGTGATATAATAAAACAGTCGATTTTAGAGACCGAAAAAGACAATTAAGGAAATTATAAAGTTTCTTCAAATGGTATTGTCACCGATGACTGGGATGGTATTCCCTTTCCACATAAGAAAACAAGAAAGGTAGAAATGTTGGAATTTTCTTAAAATATTTTCCAAATTGTTGTAGGCTACTTCCGAATCAATTCGTGTTTAGTGAATGATTGATGAAAACGCAAGTATCGAATACAATCATGCAAACTGAAGCACATGTCCTCTTCAATTTAAGCATGAGAATAATGCTTCTGATTTGATGCTTAGTTAATACTCCTCCGACTTATAGTCGTTTTGTCAGAATTTATTGTTTTTTTTTTCATTGTCATTTTATTAAAATTAATGACTTATTAATTTTTTTCTCTTATTTTTATCTTTGATAATTAATGTATATTTATTGAACAATGTGTCTATTTATTTCTAATGTTTACCTATTTTTTTTTCCAACCATCTAGGTAAAGTTAATGTTATATTTAAGGGTAATATGTTTCTAACGAAATACTATAAAAAAAATAGAGGGTAAAATAAAAAAATAAATAATAAATATTTTTAAAATTTAAAATATCAATCAATTTTTTAAGTCTCGTACAAAACCTTAAATGACTATGAATAAAAAACAGAAGAAGTACAGCGTAATGTGGGAAACATCTAAGTTCAAATCAAAATAAAGGGTCATGCTTTACCTTTTACCTTTATCATTATCCTTATTAAATATACAAAAATATCAGTAAGATGTTTTTGTTTTTTGTTTCGTACTTGTAAGATATATATATATATATATATATATATATATAAGGAATACTAATATACTCTCACTTATTTTTTAGTTAATGAGATCCTTCCTTTATATATATATATATATATATATATATTTGAGGAATGCTAATATACTCTCACTTATTTTTTAGTTGGAGTATGTTAGTAACTTACACCAAAATTTTAGGATAAGAAAATCACTCATTTATTTTGATTTAGTTTATTTATATAAAAAATATTATAGTAATTTAATTTAAGTTTAAAAGAAAACAAAACATTTTCTCTCTCTTATTAATTTCATTCTCTAACTCAATTTTTATTAATTAATTCTTTATTTGTTCAGAGAGAGAGGGGAAATATCATGATAAATGAGAGAGAAATGAGTTAAAGAACGAATTTAATAGGAGAGAGATAAATGAGTTAAAAAAAGAATTTAATAAGAGAGAGATAAATAAGTTAAAGAAGATATTTAATAGGAATCAGAAATGAGTTGGAGAAGGAATTTAATGGGAGAGAGAAAAGACTTATTTTTTTTAAAATTAAATTAAATTACTATAATATCCTTTATACAAATTAACCAAATCAAAATAAATGAGTGATTTTCTTGTCCTAAAATTTTGGTGTAAATTGCTAACATACTCCAACTAAAAAATAGGTGGGAGTATATTAACATTCCCCTATATATATATATAACTAAATTATATTTGTATGGCTCAGAACCTATACTTGTTGCATTTTCTTTTAAAAGATTTAATTCTCTTGTTTTTGGAGGATGTATAAACTCAAAGCATAATGTATTTTCTAAGACTTGAGTTTCTAATCCTTTTGATGTAACCTTAAAGGGATATAATAATGATAGAAATGAGGTTCCTAGTATACAAGAAATATTCATATTTTTAACTAATACAAAGGAAGTTAGCTTTTAATGCTTTTGCTCATTGTCCTGTAAAAATTCTCTTGTAAGATAATCTGGTAATGTGTTTGTTTCTCCTTTGATATATTCAATTTCAAAATCGAAACAGGATAATAATGCTTGCCATCTTGCAAAAATATGTTTTGAAACTAAATTTTTAACATCTTTTTGTAAAACAGATATCATCCACCTCAAAAGAACAAATTGTCAGATATCATTCAGGTATTTGGCATTCAGCTCAACAAAAATATTCCACTGTCAAAAAAGAAATTTTATCTATAGTTTTATGTCTTCAAAAATTTCAAGATGATTTATTTTCAAAAAGATTTTTAATTAGAACTGATTGCAAAGCAACCCCATCTTTTTTACAAAAAGATGTTAAAAATTTAGTTTCAAAATATATTTTTGCAAGATGGCAAGCATTATTATCTTGTTTCGATTTTGAAATTGAACATATCAAAGGAAAGACAAACACATTACCAGATTATCTTACAAGAGAATTTTTACAGGACAATGAGCAAAAGCATTAAAAGCTCAAAAGATCAATATGGATCTCCCGTGAGATCTAGTTCCGACAAGACTATTATCAAAGCTGGTCAAACCAGTACCCCAAGACAATTATCGGCCTCGCCGACAAGTACAAGAAAGTTACCCAGTTCTATCAAGACAGAAATTCCTATATCATCAAAAAAAAAATTATCCCTCAATCCTTCATATTTAAAAGCTATCAAATCTCCCTTACTCAATCGATTTAACCCTCTCATATCATTAGGAGCAAGTCCAGAACCACAGAACATTCCTTCTCCCTCAAAAATATCAAGAATTACTCCTCTAGTAGATACACCTACAGGATCTACATCCTACTATGAAGATTATGTCCAAAAGGATTATGATCTTGATATCATTATAGTTGAACCTGAATGGAGAGACCTGACTCCATCAGCCTTAGCTACAAAACTTTTCACTGGCCAACATCATTATCCTCCCTACTACCATAAAAGATTATTTTATGAATTCATTCTTGTAGACACCGATTCAATAGAATTAACCCATACCAAAGATGAGTTAGGATCTATACAATTCTCAAAAGTCAAAATACAAAAGATCCTTTCACCTTCTGACTGGAATCAACCCATATATCAAGGAAAGTCTTTCTCCAGAGACTTCCAACCCCAATACTATACCTATTATGATTACATGTTAGCATGGACTAACATGTTATACCTTCAACCCAAAACACATTCATGGTTTTTCTGGTTCCGAAGAGGAATCTCATTAAAATTTCCAAAATGGTTTCTTAATTGGTTTCAAATTTGGGGACCAATTAAAGAAATATTTCCCCCAGAAGTCTCAGAGTATTATGACTATTTTAAAACAAAAACTTCTTTTCAAAAAAATTACAGGATGATATCGTTTGTAGCCTCACAAAACATTACTTGGATTACAACATGAGATTACTTATACCGACAAGGAAATGATGAAAGCACAAAAATTCTCACAAGAAATATTAAAGTTAAATGGTGGAAACAGTTCGACATCAATTTATTAAGCAAAAAAAGATTGATGAATGGACAAAAAATAACTCTTCTCCCACCATCAAGACCTCTCAAAACCATAAAAAAAATTAGCTGAACAAGAAGCCCAGTTTTTAGCTGACAAAAGGAAGATTATGGTTGAACTAGCATCAGCCTCCTCTCAAGAAGAATTCGAGGAACGATTAAGGTTAATTCAAATATATATATATATATATATATATATATATATATATAATATT